TCTTTCTGGTTATAAATACTATGTACTCTTTGTTGATGAATATAGCAAATTTACTTGGCTTTATCCATTGTGTTACAAAAGTGAAATGTTTGATAAATTTGTAGAATTCACAGCATATGTTGGCAATCAATTTTCCACTCACTTGCAAATTTTTCGCACTGATGGAGGTACTGAGTTTGTTAATTCATCTATGGCTCAATTCTTCAACTCTCATGGTATTCTCCATCAAATTTCTTATCCCTATACACCTCCTCAGAATGGAGTCTCTGAGCAAAAACATAGACCCATCACTGAGACTGCCATTGCACTGCTTCACCACTTTTCTGTTCCTATTAAGTATTGGTTTGATGCCATTTCTGCAGCCACTTATCTGATTAATAGAATGCCTAAGTCTAAGGCTCATCATTCTTCTCCTTATGAATTATTGTTTCACAAAGCACCTGATTACTCTTTTATGCGTGTGTTTGGATGTCAATGTTTTCCTTGGCTTAAGTCACACACTTCTCATAAACTTCAACCTAAATCCACTTTGTGTGTTTTTCTTGGTTATCATCCTTCTTACAAAGGATATCTGAGACTGCCATTGCACTGCTTCACCACTTTTCTGTTCCTATTAAGTATTAGTTTGATGCCATTTCTGCAGCCACTTATTTGATTAATAGAATGCCTAAGTCTAAGGCTCATCATTCTTCTCCTTATGAATTATTGTTTCACAAAGCACCTGATTACTCTTTTATGCATGTGTTTGGATATTAATGTTTTTCTTGGCTTAAGCCACACACTTTTCATAAACTTCAACCTAAATCTACTTTGTGTGTATTTCTTAGTTATCATCCTTCTTACAAAGGATATAGGTGTCTCGATCCTTCCTCTGGTAAGGTTTATCTGTCTCGCTCTATCATATTTCATGAAAATATTTTTCCTTTGGCCAATATTTCTCCTCCTACTTCTCAGACCTTGTCTATGATTCAGTCTTTTTTCTGGTCTTCTCCTTCTCCAAACTTGGGATCATCACTCTGTTTCCCTGTCAGCCACTGCCTTTTTCTTTTTCACTACAACCAGCTCTCATATCTCCTTCCTCCTCTTCCTCTTTACCTTCTTTAGCATCTCCTCTGCTACTACACTGCAGTCTACTGTGTTTTCATAACCTACATTAACTAAGTCTATCCAGTCTGCACTACCTCAGTCTGTTTCTTCTTCTCTACCATCAGGCCCTATTTCTTCTTCTACTCCCACTCCTACTCCTATTTCTTCCATTTTTATTGATTTAGCTCTACCTCCTCCTTCTTCTAATTGTCATTCTATGATTACTCGCTCTAAAGCGCATCCTCAAGTCTTTATGGCTTCTTCTTTCTCCTTTTCTGACACTGAGCCATCTACCTATCAGCAAGCTCTCAACTCCCTTGTTTGGCACACTGCCATGTTGGACGAATACAATGCTCTTCTTGCTTAAGGTACTTGGTCTTTGGTTGCTTTGTCTGCTTCTAAGTCTGCTATCAGCTGCAAATGGGTATTATGTATTAAGCGCAATTCTGATAGTTTTATTGGTCGTTATAAAGCTCGTTTGGTTGCAAAAAGGGTTTCTCCAACAAGAGGGCATTGACTATACTGAAACTTTTAGCCCCGTTGCCAAACAACCTACTATTCGCATCTTCTTGTGTGTGGCTCTGCGTTATCACTGGCCTCTCAAGCAACTAGATATTAGTAATGCCTTTCTACATAGTACATTGGAAGAGGAAGTCTACATGACACAGCCTCCAGGCTTCACTAGTCCATCTCATCCCACTCATGTTTGTCTCTTAAAGAAGGCTCTCTATGGTTTAAAGCAGGCTCCACGCGCTTGGTATTCTACCGTCTTCAATTTTTTACTGTCTCAAGGTTTTCTTAATAGTCAGTGTGACAATTCCTTATTCATTCAAAGGACTTCTTCAACAATCACTATTCTCCTTGTCTATGTTGATGATATCTTGGTAACAGGTAGTAGTTTTTCTCATATTGCATCTCTTATTGCTCACATGCATACTGCCTTTACCATGAAGAAATTAGGGAACATTTCCTATTTTTTGGTTGTCTCCATTCAAGCCTACATAGTACATTGGAAGAGGAAGTCTACATGACACAGCCTCCAGGCTTCACTAGTCCATCTCATCCCACTCATGTTTGTCTCTTAAAAAAGGCTCTCTATGGTTTAAAGTAGGCTCCTCGCGCCTTGTATTCTACATTCTCTATTTTTTTACTGTCTCAAGGTTTTCTTAATAGTCAGTGTGACAATTTCTTATTCATTCAAAGGACTTCTTGTCACGCCCCAACCCGCCCATATAAGGTTGGGCATGACTAGCCTGACGACGGACTCAAAATTCAATAATTATATGATATGGGGCCTGAACGGAAACGATTATCAATTTAAAATAACATCCATTGAGCTAACGCTTACATACCAGGATCACAAAACATTCCACCAAATAGCCCAACACATAATGAACATACCCATAAGAAACGATTGTGCATGTACATACATACAATCCCATCCTCGTAGTTGGGGGGTATAACTAAAGCATTGGTAGTAAAAGTTATAGATGTCTTACTATATTGACAAAAGCCAGTGACCAATACTATGAGCAAAGAAAGGAACTACACGAAAATAAACAAGCTTCATCCAGTTGTTTGGACACTGCGGGGATTGACAAAGAAAAGCTACCAAGGCTGGACTAGGACTGACTTCCAAGCTGATTACCTACAGAGGCAGACATAACACGGAGTGTGCAGGGCTCAGTGAATAATAGCAATATAAGGAGGTTAGGTGAATAAACATAGCCTTGGAGAATATAAATATACATATAACAAACCAACCATAAATAAGTCTTATCCATACTATATTTCAAAACAGCCTTAGGCCCGCATGTAATAGAAAATGACCTCAGGCCCAGACGTAATACAGAACGGCCTCAGGCCCAACATAACGACAGCTGTCCAGAGCAATATAGGGAAGATGGAACATCGACATGTCTCCATCTCCCTTGGCATAGAGCCATTAGTCATGTACAATTCATATCATTATAGGGTTGATGGAACATCGACATGTCTCCATCTCCCTCGGCCTTAGGGCCATGAGTCATAAACAATTCACATCATAATGTACTCCATTGCAGTAAACGTAATTTGTATCAATAACATACATGGATCCTAGTGGGACTCATAGCACTACACCATTCACAATTAGAGGCATCTAAACCACGGTATAGTGACTCCAACATGCCAATTATAATCAAGGTATAATAATTCGTAGACAGAAATGCAAGAGCAACTATATACATCATTACACTATTAGTACTCACAGTGATGGGCTTCCGGTAGTAATGGGACGATGTCCTCACCTTCCTCTATTTAGATCTTTCCACACTCAGTGGCTTATAACTAAACGGCCTCGGGCCCATCATTAGCAAAGCAGAATGACCTCAAGTCCATAAAGATATCATTGTTCAATATCGCACATAAGTTTTCCGATTGTTCATCATGAGGCGACATAGTTAGCTTACAAATAATAGAACGCCATTAATAGTTATCAACGATAAATGAAATATGTCGTTACAGTACTATTACTCACAGTGATGTGGCGGAGGGTTAGTTCTCTCATGTATGTGACCTACACACACACACAAGGCACTTATAAGTTAGTCACTTTACTTTGTAACCCATATCTGATTCGTTCCATTCACATTCAATTACAAGCATTTTAAAAGTGTTAAGCACACATTTTAGCAATCCCAGAAGATCAAACAGCAGAAAAGGAAGACACCGATTTTCTCCCCTTGGGCCACACGTGCGGTAGTCCCCTCCGCACGTACGGGAAGGTGGGCTGCACGTGTGGTAATCCTCCCCCGCACTTGCTTTTATTTCAGTAGCTTAACTTTGAAATCCCCTATTTTTCGCACGTGCGGCCGTGACCCCCGCACGTGCAGTGGTGCTTCCTACATGTGCGGCCGTGACCCCTGCATGTGCGGTCGTTATCCCTAATTTGTGCAATCCGATCCAAAACACACACCCAACTAGGTTACAACATCTCAAGGCACAAAATAAGGGAATTAAACTCAACATGATGATATAACACTACAATAACATGAATCAGAAGCTCAATTAGGTCTTTAATCCCTTCAATTTCATAAACAAAACTCAACATTCTTGTATTTGATTATATTTGATATATTTGGTCTTCCATATATATACATCATCATCTAACCACATGGATGAGTTCAACATGCAAAACTAAAAGCAAAGTGTAATTCCCCTCCATATAGCTCAACAATTCCAAATCAACTAAACATAAAAGACATTATACACAATTAACACACACTTATTCTATATTATAAACCCTAACTTACATAATCAAGAGAGATTCTTACTCAAGTCTAAGAGAGGAGTTCGTTGAAGTGAGATATTTTTACCTTAAACTCAATTTTCTACAAATCTTCTCAATTTCCAAATCCTCCTTCTTGTTGAGATTCTCTCCCCCTTGTTCTTCCTCTCTCACTCTCTCTCTTCCAGGAGATATTTGTTTTATAAAATGACAAATGGCTAAGGAAGGAACTTAAGAGGGTTTATTAAAAGTTGACTATAATTTAATCAGTTTAATCATTACGAGTCAGATTTTTTACAAAAATTCAGATTATAAACTAAAAATCATGCTGATCACAATTATAAAGTCAATTTCGGATTATCGAGCTTCTGAGGCTTTCAATTATTGATCCAAATATTTCAATTGTAACAGATTTTGCACATAATCAACAGATATAAGTCCATAACCATATAATTCACACAATTAAGCTTAATTTCACATGGAATTTCACATTAAACACATAATATGAGACTGAAAGCATACCGGAAAACATATAAGAAGATCGGGTTATTACACTTCTTCCACTATTACTCTTCTTCTTGTATATGTTGATGACATTTTGGTTACTAGAAATAGCTCTTCTCATATTCAATCTCTTCTTGCTCAAATGCATATTGCCTTTGCCATGAAGGAGCTCGGGGATATTTTCTATTTCTTGGGTATATCTATACAAGCTTATGGTGATTTCTATTTTTCATCTCAACACAAATATGCTTCTGATATCCTCATTAAAGCTGGTATGACCACTTGTAAGCCTTGCAATTCCCCTGTGTCAGTTAAGCCTTCTCTTGCTCCAAATTCTGATCTTCCATTTGATCAACCTGAGCTTTATCGCATTGTTGTTTGTGCACTCCAGTACCTTACCATCACCAGGCCTAACTTGTCTTTCGCTGTTAACCAAGCTTGTCAATACATGCATGCTCCCACTATTGCTCATTTTGCTGCTGTCAAGAGACTGTTACAATTTGTCCAAGGGACTTTAGCTCATGGGCTCACTTTCAGCCCTTGTTCTTTTGAACTTCATGCCTTCTCTGACTCGAACTGGGCTGGTGATGTTCTAGATCGTCGCAGTTCTTCAGGCTACTGTGTGTATCTTGTGTCCAACCTTATTTCTTGGTCTGCTAAAAAGCAATCAACCATCTCAAGATCCTCAACCGAAGCTGAATATCGCTCTCTCGCACACACCACAGCTGAACGTACTTGGTTAACAATGTTACTCCATGAACTTCAACTTTACTCTCTCATTCCTCCTTTACTTTGGTGTGACAACCTGTCTGCTATTGCCTTGGCTTCCAATCTGGTGTTTCACACTCGTTCTAAACATATTGAAGTGGATTGTCACTTCATTCGTAAAAAGATTGCTACTAAACAGCTACTTCTTAAATATGTTCATTCTCTTGATCAAATTGTTGATATATTCACAAAGCCCCTCTCAGTTTCACGATTTAACTATCTTAAAGCCAAGCTTCTGGTCTCTCCCTCTACCATCAGCTTGCAAGAGGGTGATAAGGATTCTAGTTCAGATGCAAAAGCCACAGCTTCAGCAGCTTCCGATATGGCTTATTCAGCTGTCAAGAATAGAGCTTCAGCTGTGGTGTCATGCAGTCAGTTAGGAATTGGTTAGCTAGTTGTTAGGAGTTAGTTACATTGTTAGAAGTTAGTTATTTGCTTAGATCAGCAGTAGTTTACCTTCTATAAATACAGCTTGTATGTACTATCAAGATTGATAATAAGAAATGCATTTTCCACAGTATGGTTTGATTTTTAAATTTTTTTTTAAATAATTAAAAATTAAAAATTAATTTGGTTAAGAAATAAAAAATAAAAAATAATTATCATTTAAGGGTAAAAAATAATTATCATTTTAACTTTTGGACAGGTTATATACATACGTTTGGCTGTTTCAATTTAATTTGTAAAAAATTATGTCTAACCACTCGAAAGATAAAAATTATATAAAAATGATGATTATTTTTTATTTTTTATTCTTAACCAAATTAATTTTTAATTTTAAAAAAAAATTCCAAAAATCAAATCATGCATAGCCTAAATTTTTTTTTGATAAATCATTTCTTACGTTATTAACTTATTTAATTATTTGTTAATTTTACAACATTTTTATTATCTAAAGCCTATTTGGTAACCATTTCGTTTTCAGTTTTTAATTTATATTTCACAAAAATTAAAAAAACTGTCATAAAAACTTATTTGATAATATTTTGGTTTATAAATAGTTGTCTCAGTTTGTAAATTTGAGGAAAAAACATAAATTCAAAAAATGAATTTACATTAGTTTTTAAATAGAAATTTAAAAATTTTACTAATAAATTTTTTTTTCAATTAATTTTTTTTTCAATTAATTTTTTTTCAATTAATTTTTTTTTCCCAACTAGTACTAACCGAGTGGACAATTGGTAATGTTACTTTAAACCTTAGGGTGAGGATTGTAATTTCTAAAATGCACGGGGTGTTAATGTAATTTATCCAGTGAGGACAAAATTGGTATTTAAAAAAATAAATTGTTGAGGGAGGAATATGTAATGAAACTTTAAATTTCAGAGAGGGAGATGTAATTTTTAAAAAGTAAAGAAAGAACTGTAATAAATATAAATCTCAGAAGATGTCAGTTTAATTTACCCCTAAAATTTTCATTAAAACTAAAAGACATCAAATATAATTAATTGTCAAAAAATAATAATACTTGACAGTTGATAATGTTTGACACATGTGCTTTTAATTGTACCATTGTACGGGGTTCCTACTTGGAAGTTCACGCTTGGGCCAACAACTCCCAAATCGGAAGTCGGTGATTTCATTTCGTTTCTCCCCAAGCGTGGAAAAATTTTAGGTAACCTAATGAGAACATGAAATACTGTGTGGCTTAGTAAACATGTGATATGTGTCATATTATATTTGAATTATATAATTTTTTTTGTAGTTTTTATTTTTTTTAATTTTAATAAGATTTATCCGGTTTAATATAAACTGTCTTGATATACTTAATTTTTTTTCAGACAAAATAATTGGCTCAATTGTTCATGTAGTTATCTTTTGGGATAATAATAAAGTTAGAAAAATTTAAAATTTAAAAGATTGCGACTATTTCTTTATAATCTAATTTATTAATTCACTAATATCCTATCCTTTGTTAAGAAAATTTTAAAAAAAAAAATTCAAAATTATCTCTCTTTTTTTATTGACATAAGTAAAATCATTTGCTCGTAAACACTTGAAAGAAAACCAAAGGAGTTAAATATCTTTCTTAGTGAAAAATATCACAAACCGTCATACATAAAAGACCTTTTGAAGCATGTCATAAATGTTTTCACTAATACTATTGATTTTGAAAATTTATTAAATATTATACACTTGTGAGTTGTAATTTGACCAATTATTCCAACTGAGCTGTCCCTGGCTGGTGGTGATAGGAACCACCAAGATTTCTAGAATTCTAAAGTATGTTTGTGTTTTGTGTGTACAAGAACTAGTAGTTGCCTTTGTGAATATAATTATAAATAGAGAGGACTGTCTCTAGTTTAGGTTTGGAATAGTTTCGGTTCACTTTAGTTTATTGGACTCACTTTTAAGTTCTTTTTTGATAAGTTGAATTGTTCATATTTTAGGAGCTGTCGAGTACATTATTTCATAAGCAACCACATCAATCGGATAACAGATAACAGATATTATGTATTCGAATCACTTTTGTCTAAAAAAATAGACGGTCAGAAAATTAACTGTTCATAAAAAATTGATTCAAATACATAGAAACCGTTATCTAGTCGACGTAATTTTTTACAAGAATAATGTATTCAACAAATCCTAAAATACAAACAATTCGAATTATCGAAAAATAATTCAAAAATAAGTCCAATGGCCCATACTGGACCCTCCAGTCCACCATATGGACTGGAGGCAAGCCACCGCCAATTATAAATATGTTAAAAAGATTTCAATTGATGCATCGAAGTATAATATTTTCTTAACGACATTTTCAAAATTAAGATCGATGAAATTCTGCATATGATTGCCAAAAATAATAAATGATAAATTATACTTTATATTTTTACACTTTTTATCAAATCCCATTTTACTTCAATATTTTACATACAATAATGTGAATAATTTGGAGATTTTTAAGCGAAAAATAATCTGGCACAAATAATATGGTTATATTTATTTGGGTGACGTTATATATATATAGGGAATAGATTATCCCCAGTCTATTATGTGAATTGGATCGTCTTATTTGGGTTCATGGGATCTACCATGGGTCCTATTTCGTTAATCTGAATCGTTTAATATATAGAATTCGTCGAGTATTTTATACTTGCAAAACATTATATTGATCGGATATCGATATCTACTTGATCAAATCAGATTTATATCAATAATTTATTTTGAAAATCATATTTATCATTAACAGAAATATAATTTGATCAAGTGGCTATCAATATCTGATTAACGTGATTTTTTTTAAAGATGAAGTACTTAGCGAATTCTACATATTGAACAGTTCGGATCATCAAAACAAGACCTGTGGTGAGCCTCCGAGAACGCAACAATACGTTCCAGTCCGATCTCAGATTAAAGAAAAACCTACCCATACATATATATATATATATATAATATTTGAAAAGTTTGATTTTATTTACATCCTCGTATAAATAATACACACTTTTTGATTAGTAAAAAATAATAAAATCTACAATTATAAACAGAGCCAATACACCTTTTAAATATAGAATTTCTTGTTTTGGATCATTCAAAATTTATGTATTATTGACACATTCAAAAAATATATGTCAATAAATTCATTTTCATGGTCAGGCATGACATCTGTAACCGACCTAGTAACAACTCTTTTCTTGATCAGCAAACAAAATCATACAAACTAAACAATCGAAAAAGAATCTTTGTTCCTAATAACTTGGAGGTAATCCAGATGGTGCTAAGGTGTTGTGCATATGTCTCTTCTTGGAAGCTTACAATTTTATTATAAAAATGTTTACCTTCTGTATGCTCATTATATTAATATCAAATATGAGCGGTGAATTCTTCTAAATTAATGTAATGTAATATATGAAATGATAAAAACTTTATACAAATAAAATTATCATAATATTTAAAAATAAATATACGAAAATATTTTTAGAATAATTATATTTGATGTGATATTTTATATTACAATTACAATTTTTATGTGATAGATCCAGGGAAAAAATTAGTGTTGCTACTTAAAACAAAAATAAAAAAATAAAATAAAATAAAGAAGATAAGATTTTATGAGCTCATACCCGAATACAATCACCACGATATTACTTAAAATTTATAATAAATTAATGGATCCAAACCAACCCGGTATTGAGTAAAAGTTTAAACCATTAATAAATTAAGTAAAAAATGAGTGATTAGTGAATTTCTTTCATTTCTTTCATTTTCTTTTCTAATCAATGGGTATTTTTTTTTTGAGACTCCTGATATTATGATTTTCTAAAATAAAGGATATGGAATATTTTCGTAATAGTTTGAGTCCTTCAATATTTTATAGAAAAAATTTGACAGAGAAAAATTTCACCTCAACACAAATAAATTTTAATTTTTACAAAGAAATTTCTTTAATTTGACAGAGAAATTTCGGCCTTGTTTGGTTTGTGTTTCCTAAAAATTTTTGGGAAAAATTCTCTACAAATAAGTTTTCAAAAGTAATAAAACCAAAAAAAATTTCTCAAAAAAATTTCTCAAAACTTGTTTGGTTTACAAGTTTTCCAAACAAATCTCTCTCTCATATACATCAAATCAATCATTTTTTCCAAAACTCTCTCTCAAAATAATTTTTCAAAACGTCTTTTGAAAAAAACCAAACCAAACAACTTTTCGTACTTTTTATCTCTAAAACTCATCTCCCAAACTCAAACCAAACGTACCCTTCATTTCTTATTTTGTCTCTCTTACCTGTTTGTTCCATAAATCAATCCACTATTCCACCATTGGAAGTATACTGTAAGGGTGTGTTTGATTGGACAGACTGGAAAATGAGGGATTAGAATCCATCGGACTTGAGTCCTGGGATTGTGAATCCCCCGGACTATTTGGTCGGATTGGATATGTATCATCTGTTTGTTTTTTCATGGGATTAGATGTCTGGATAAGACTATTTTCAGTGAATCTAACGTTTGGTTGGATGGACTGGATAAGATAAATGAACAAAAGACTATTTTACTCTTTTTCAATTGTTTACTAAGTAATAGCAATATTAAACATATCTTTAATATTTTAATTATTTTTAATTAAATAAATTCGTTTTTTTTTAAATAAATAAATAAAATATCAATAAAATTTGTTTTAAATCATTATTGTATAACAAATCATTATTTTTTTTACATGCAAAACTTTACTGTGTTTGTTTATTTACACAATTAAATAAATTTATTTTTTTACACAATTAAATAAATAAATAACCACTAAATTTGATTTAATAAAATACTGTATAACCTGTATAAAAAATTTATATTATTTTTTTAATTAAAATTTTAAATAAAACACCTATTACAATTTAAATAATGAAATTAAATAAATTATAAACAAAATTTTAAAATAAAACATCAATAAAATATCTATAAAAAATTATTTTAAAAAATTAAATAAATAAAACATCAATAAAAAGTTAAATAAAATTATTTTATTTTTAAATTGAGACATTTAAATTTTATTGAATTTTATTAAATATAATACATAATTAAATAGTAGAGGGTCAAAATGGTCATTTTCGCATCTAATCCCAACAGTGAATAGTCCCCCACATTCTATCCCACCCCCCTAGGACACAATAGTCCTCCATATGGGGGACATGGAGTCTAGCCGGACTCCATGTCCGGCGGACTAAAAAATAATCAAACGGCGGATAAGGAACACTATTTGAATTATAATCCAAATAGTAGATAGTCCCCCCTCCAATCTCCCCAATCAAACACGCCCTAAGTGTCCTCTCAATCCGACTGGTTCTCACATCAATTGTGGCCTTATTCTAAGATTGAAAAAATAAAAAATAAAAAATAAAAAATAAATTAAAAAAAAAAATCCAGTCTTTTCTTCTGTCAACCAGGAGTACAACGAAGCCAACCATATTCCACAATCATCATTCACGCGCCTAGACGCGCCACAGGAATCTCCACGACTGGTTCTTCCCGTTCTCCCACTCTCTGCGCGTGTGCCACGTGTAGGCGTCTCTCTATCCTAGCGCTACTGCCTTACTCGGCTTCCCTATGCTGTGTGCCACCATCCACGGCTTCTGCCTCAGCCTTTTTCCTTCAGCTTCTGCATCGCCTTAGCAGGCTCTCCCTTTCTCAGCTCGCCCAGCCGTGTACTCTCTAAGCCGCCGTCTGCCGCTCTATTCTTTATTTCTTTATTTTGGCGCTGTTTGGGAAGCCTCAACTGAGGCTATTGTAGCCTATTTTCATAAAATAGTCCAAAAGTAATACTATTGCCAACTTTTTCAAAAAAAAAAAAAAAAAAAAAGGACTGAGCGCTGGATAGTGTAGGCGCAGCCTACACTGTCACAGCCGGCAATTGTTACATCAACAACTCAATTACCATTTTACCCCTTAGTCGGAAATTAAAAAATTATAATTGTAGGGACAAAATGGTCATTTTAATTACAAACATCTTTTCAACACATTTTTTAATACACCAACTCAAAATAAATTTAACCTAACTTCCCAAACACAAAACTAAAAGAGCCTACTAAAATAGTCAAAAAGCCAAATAGCCTACTAAAATAGCCACTTCCCAAACGAGGCCTTTGTATTTTTTTTACTATTCTCTTATGTTTCGGTTTTGCAAAAAATAAATAAAAAAAATAAAATAAAATAAATTAGCAAGGATCATTTTGAGACTTCTCAACCAATTTTTGTTGTCTTTAATTGCTCTAATTATGTTCTTTGAGCCCAAAGTATGTCTAGTTTTATCAAGGGTAAGAAACTTTGGCGTCTTATTACTAATGACGCTGTCAAACTTGTTCGTGAAACCACTGAAACTATTGCTAAGTATGAGGAACGTCTTGATTGGGACAACAAAAATCATCAAATCATTACATGGTTTTGCTATACTTCTTCTGTCTCTATCCATCTTCAATTTAGTTGCTTCAACACGGCTAAAAAAATTTGGGATTTTCTAAATGCCTGTTACAGTACAACTGATCTAGCTGACCAATTTCAACTCCTTAGCCAACTTCATCATATGCGTCAGGAGTCTGGTTAATCAATAAGTGCCTTTCTCTCTCAGATGCATGGTGTTTGGGATCAATTATCTCTTTCTGAACCCAATTGGAAGTGTTCGGATGATATTGAGCTTTTTACCACCTACCGTGATGGCCAACGTCTGATTCAATTTTTGACAGCCCTTAAAAAAGATTTTGAGTTTGTTTGTGCCTCTCTCCTTCACTGCACCCTCTTTCCACCTTAGAGGGTACCATTTCTAAGCTTCTTTCTAAAGAAACTCACCTCAGATCTCTCAACTCTCCACCATGGATGTTGCTCTTACTACATCTCACCAGCCTGGTTGCCCCTTAATTCTTGACTTATGCTCCTACTACCATAGTCCACTACATGCTCTGCTCCATTGCCTTATTCGAGTCTTCAAATGGTGTCACAAAATTGGTCCTGGTCACTATTAGCAAGAGTGCTTCGAGAACCCCCACTGCCAGTCCCGTGATCAACGTCCTCAAGGTGGCTCTTTTGGACGACCTTTGGTACACCATAGGTCTAAATCTTCCATTGCTGCTGTCACTAACTCATTCTCGACTCCTGAACATTCTCCATCCTACACTCTTCATGACATCGAGTCCGTTGTCAAGCAAGTTCTCTCCACATCTGATACACATTTTACTGCCCTTTCCGTCACCTCTTCATGGTTTTTGGATTCTATATATTGAAATCATATAACTCCTAATCCTACTATTTTTTCATCCACCACGTCTATTTCTACTACTCATGTCATTTTCACTGCTAATGGGTCTCCAATGCATGTTAGTCATATAGGCCATGTCTCTACATCCATTGTTTCTTTTCTTGATACATATCTAATTCCCCATCTTACTCTTAATCTTATTTCTATTGTGCAACTTTGTGATCTTGGGCTTATTGTTCTTTTATCTTCTTTTGGTTGTGTTACGCAAGACCCTCAGATGGGACAGACTCTTAGGATCGACTGCAAAACTGGTCGTTTATACAAGCTCATTCATTTTCAAATCCCTTCTTAGCCTTCTCTTCTTATACCTGTTATTTCCGCATCTGCACACTCTTCCCTCAGTTTATGGCATTCTTACCTTGGTCATGTGTCTTTTGGTCGATTACGGTCTTTTATGTCTAGTGGTTAGTTAGGTCATGTCACTAATGAAACAATAGATTGTTTATCTTGTCAAACAACCAAACAAGCTGCTTTACCTTTTAATAAAAGTGATTCCATGACTCATGCCCTTTTTTATCTTATCTACTCTGATCTTTGGGGACTTTTCTCACACTTTACCATGGAGGGATCTAGGTATTTTGTTATCTTTGTTATTGATTTTACTTGATTTATCTGGATATTTCTTGTGAAAAATCGTTCTAAACTACAACAACACTATTATAATTTTGCCCACATGGTTAAAACCCAATTTTCTAGCACATTCAACAAAAAAAAAAAAAAAAATTCTTCATGCCGACAATGCCCAAGAATATAAAGAAACAAATCTTTTTACAATTTCTTCATGACAATAGCACTCATCTTGTCCAAGAACCTCTCAACAGAATAGTCGGGCAGAGCACAAACATCGTCATATTCTTGACACTGTCTGTGCTCTCTTAATCTCTACCTCTTGTTCTAAGCGTTTTTGGGGTGAGGCTGCTCTCACTACTATATACACTGTCAATTGAGTTCCTACTCTTATCATTTACAATCAAACCCCGTATGACTGTCTCTATGGTTAGCCACCTGCTTATAGTAATCTTCAGGTATTTGGTTGTGCATGTTTTGTTTTATTACAGCCCCATGAACGTACCCAATTAGACCCTCGAGCTTGTCTTTGTTGCTTCTTGGGTTATGGGATTGAACATAAAGGTTATCGGTGTTGGGATCCTCTCTCTAAATGTGTTTGTGTGTCTCGTCATGTTGTCTTTTAGGAAGATAAAATGTTTTCTTCCATGTCCAAATTTCACATAGATATTTCTCCAAGTACATCTTTTTTTACTAATCCCATCGTTCCTCTATTTGATGATGAGCTCGATACAGGCACTACCACTGAGCAAAACATTGGCCCGATCCCTCTTCTAACCCCTTCTACCGTGTCTGGCCCTCCTGATAGTATTGTACCTCCATTTATTGATCATACCACTTTTATTGAGTTCTTTACATCTATTGACTCTCTTGAGCTCCTTCTTGAGCCTTCAAATGCCTCTCTTCACCATTCTACTTGAGTAAAAGAACTTTCTATCTGTCTTCGTGGTTATGATTGTTATTTTACTATTATCTCTGACCATGAACCTTAATTCTATCGTGAAGCTAGTTCTAACACTCTTTGGTCATGTTTGATTCACAAGATTAATAGTAAAGTATTAATAATCCTATTAAGTTAGTGTGGTATTCACTATCTAATTGGATTAATATCCATTGGATTAATAATCCCACCCCTACCACGTTACTAATAATCCTACAAATTTGTTGGATTAATTATCCATTGGATTAATAATCCTAAACAAAAATGTTAAAACAAACATAGGATAATTGGGCCCACGAATTAATAATCTCAATCCCATGCTCTAATCCACCCAATCAAATAGGCCCTTTGGCAGCAATTAATGGCAGAAGAGTTACAAGCCTTAGATCAAACTGGCCCATGGGATATGGTTGATTGTCCTCCTAACAAACCTCTAGTTGGTTATAAGTCGGTCTACAAGATCAAGAAATGTTCAAATGGGACTATTGAACGTTACTTAGTTGCCAAAGGCTTCACACAAGAGTATAGAATTGACTATGAAGAGACTTTTTCTCTTGTGGCTTGTTTCACTTCCATTCACAGTTTACTTGTTGTTGCTACAATTCAGAAATGACAATTATTTCAAATGGATGTCAAAAATGCCTTCTCGAATGGAGATCTTCAAGAAGAGGTTTATATACAGCCGCTTCCTAGCTATACTCATTTGCCCAATAAAGTCTATAAGCTTCATCGGGCCCTCTATGGCCTCAAACAGTGGTTTTCTAAATTCAGTTTTACTGTTCAAGCATTTGGCTTCTCCACTAGCTCTTATGATTCTACCCTCTGCATCCATAAGTCTCAGTATGGTCATGTCTTCTTCTCCTTTATATGGGTGATATGATTATCACCGGCAATGACATCAATGGCATATCTACACTCAAACAGTCTCCTAGTCAACATTTTGAGATGAAGGATCTAAGTCTACTCAAATATTTCTTAAGCCTTGAGATCTCTGTGGACCCTGATGGCTATTATCTATCTCAAGCCAAGTATGCTTCTAATCATTTTACATAGGCTAGACTCACTAACAGTAAGACTGTTTCTACTCCTCTCAAACCAAATGTTTGCCTTACACCCTTGGATGGTACACCCCTTCCCGATGCTAACATGTATCGACAATTAGTTGGTAGTCTTGTTTATCTCACTGCCACTCGCCCAGACATTGCGCATGTCGTTAATCTGGTTAGCCAGTTCTTGTCAGCTCTTCGATCCATACATTATGCTGCGATGCTTTGTGTCCTCCGCTATGTTAAGGGTACTTTATTTCATGGTCTTCATTACTCCTCCCAATCTGCACTATCATTACGTGCCTATTCTGATGCTGATTGGGTTGGAGATCGTACTGATTGCCATTCTACTACTAGGTTTTGCTTCTTCTTAGGGAACTCTCTTATTTCTTGGCATAGAAAGAAACAAACCTTGGTATCTCGCTTGAGTACTAAATTTGAATATCGTGCTCTTGTTGACTCTACTTAAGAGCTCATTTGGTTTCAATGGTTGCTTACTAATATAGGTGTTCCTCTTCTAGTTGCAACTCCTCTATACTATGACAATCGAAGTGTCATCTAGATTGCTCACAATGATGTTTTTCATGATTAAACTAAACATATAGAGATTGATTGTCATTTTGTTCACAAACATGTCACACAAGGCATTGTTCACCTCCTTCCTATTTCCTATGCTGGCCAAATTACTGACATCATTGCTGACATCTTCACCAAAGCATCCACTAGGGTGTTTTCAAGATTTGATTTTCAAACTCGGCATCTACCATGTCACGTTGAGTTTGAGAGTGGATGTTAATATATAATACATATTATATATTCTGTAAATATTCTTCATACATATATATATATATATATTGTGTACCTTTACCTTATATAGAATAGACTCATCACATTTAGGAATTGTTTGATCCACTTCTTTGTATAGCTTCTCAAGGTTGCAGTCTTGTATTGATTCAATACATAGTGAAATATGCAAATGGTGGTGGTATATGCACTAATTAGTGTACTAACTAGTATACTCACATTAGTTATGATATTATTATTGACCTTACTTATTATATATGTGGAGAAGTGGTTTGGAAATACTCTTTGGATCCAATGGAACGCTCGAGATCCTCAGTTAGCTACCTGAAAATGAATGAACACTCCGGTCGAGGGTGCCGGAATTAGCACTCCAATGGACAAGTCAGTGTGTACTCTCTTGTTTACTTCTATCTTAAGTTAAGCTTCTTAGTTCTCACGTACCGCCCTTTGGTTGATGCCCTTTTATTTATATCTCTTCTTAGGCCTCAAGGTTGGGCCTACCTTTAATCCACCGTGTAACTATTTACTCGGCTTCTTTTGTTGCAAACCGCTCTTCACGGCTCCTCGTTCAACTGGTCATGTAGCCGATTAGGTTACTTCTGGATTTGTATAAGAAGGGGCCAAATACGATGTATATATCTCGAGTCTCTAAGTTCACTTATTCGGCCCCTTTGCATCCAATAGTCGGCCCCCACAATTGCCTCCCAAACATTCCACTAACAACAGTTAGCTAGTGTGTTTGGTTTTGAACTCGAAAAGTTAGAGCCGAAATTCGGTGGCCAACCTCATTCCAACGCGAATGTCAGAGCTCGCAGGCCTTTCGGTCATCATTACAACTTCTCACCCCTTCGTACGCTTCTTCCATTTATTGTGATTTAAAATTTTGTTGTCTTTTCAAATGCGTACACATTTTTGAATACTTGAAGCTCTTGGTGTGCCTTCCAATTCACCTCTGCAACCTCCTTTTATCCCTCATTGTCTTCTCTGCCTCTTGTAAGCTCTCTTCCTCTCTATTTCGAATCCCTTTTCCTGGTTTGTTTTTAGTTTTGCGTACTCCATAGACTGACGAAAATGGCAAAGCATTTGAAAGACCTCCTTTCTGCGGATCGAGCCTCTGGCTTTAGATGCCATTTTTCCATCCCTGATGACGTTCGTTTGTCACTCGTGACAGACAGCACCCTTGATATGGAGAGGGCTGATGAAAGCACAATCGTTTTCCCTCTCTTATCAATTATAAAAGGCGGAGTTTGTTTCCCCCTTCACCCATTCCTTAGGGCCGTCCTTTGCCATTGGAGTCTAATCCCTTCCCAACCTAATGTAAATTTTTTTTGAATCATAATGGGAATCATAGAGTTAAACCGCCGCCTTAGGATTAATCTCGACATACCTGCTATTCGGCATTGTTATGCCTTGGCCAAATCTTCTGGCCGGCATGGGTGCTATTTCCTTAGGGCCAAGGACACCGACCATCAATTAATGACTATGCTTTCCAGCTCTGGCAAGCGAGTCAATGATGTCATGGTCGTTATCCGAGGTAATTGGGAATTCGGCGAAGGCGAGGACCGCCTAGATCCTATTCCTAGACGAAGAGGCGAACCAGGTGGCCATATAGCTCCTTGCGTTTATCTTTCTTATATTTACTCGGCTTTATTTTTGCGGTCTCATGGTTTTACTTGTGCAGGAAACGATTTGAAGAAAGTTTTGGTTTCAACCGACGACGCCGTTCTTGCGGAAATTAAAGTCGCGCTCCAATACTTTGGCCGTCCAAGCCTTCAAAAACAAGGGAGGGCGGGCCACATTCTTCTTCGATACGAGCCAACATATACGACGTTTTCGGCGGCAGAAAGCATCCCAGTTCTGAGGGGCGGAGAGTTTCTTATGGCCTTTATCTTAACCAACTTCAAGAACTTGATGCAAGTTGGTTTGGATGGATCCGATTCAGAGCAGGTGGATGTAGCTGAGAAGGTTGCTGAGGAGTCAAACCAATCTGAAGCCGAAGTAGACGAGGCTTTGAAGTTGGCCTTTGAGGAAACCGGCCTCAATTCATCCAACCCTCTGTCCACCTTAGGCCGAGGGGACGTTTCCTTCGACGACATCTTTACAGGTTTAGAAGACATTCCCGGCGTGTACCCTGAGGACATGGCTGGGTTGTCACTCACACAACTTGCCAATAAGAAAAATGCCAAAAGAATGGCCCCCCGGCGGAGAGTCGAGGCCATTCAATCGGAAATTCCATCGCTGCCGATATTGAGCCGTCTCTGCCTGTTGTCGAGGAAGAGACGACTCAAACCCAAACGACCAAGTCGGAGCGGGTAGAGCAGGCGAATTAGGAGCAAAGGAGGGAGAAACGCCTCGCCGACAAAGAAGTTGAGTCCGCTGAAGAGCAAGTCGATAAACAGTCGCGCATTAAGGAATCAGATTTATTTGTTCTGTTCACTGTTCAACCAAAGATAAGGAACATGCCAATTTCCTCTGACGCGTCGGCTTTAAAAGACCTAGATGTGGCCTTGAGCATGGCCTCTTCGATCTCCCTGCCGGTTGACTGAGCCGTATTTCGGGCCGAGCCAGATCTGCTGTCGATCACGTTAACCGCTCAGTCGGCTTTATTGGTACATGCTTTATATGCAGTCTTTCGCCTAAATACATATATTTTTAATATTATTTAACTCTATTTCCTTATTTTGCAGATGGTGGGCAAGATAGCTGAAATAGGCCGCTGTCAACATGACGCTATAGAACAGATTGCCTTGCTAAAAACCGAAGTTGAAAATGAAAAAAACAAGGCTATGAAAGCCTCTCAGATAGCCGATTCCGAAGCGGCAAAAGCGGCGGAGGAACATGCGAGGGCCGACTCTGAGGCCGAGAGCGTGAGGAACTCTGACCAGTTAAGGCTATTTGCCGAGGACAGGGCCAAAGCGAGTGAGGACGCGCTCCAGCTAGCCATTGAGGTGATTGCCAAGTTGGAAGCCGACTTGGAAGAATCAAAGAATGCGAAGGAAACAGCCGACTCTGAGGTTTCCAAAGCATTTCGGGTTGGACAAGAAGCTGCCTTGGAGAACTATGCGGATGAAGTGCCCAAATTGGAGAACCGGGGCTTCAAACACGGCTAGCTCAAAGCCCTTGCTGTCGTGAATGTGACATTGGCCCAGCCGATTCCATTCGAGCAAGTGGACGTTGAGCCGCTGGCGTCTGACCCTGAGGATTGACTAGGGTGACATTTTAATTTTTGCTAGGCATCTTCCATGCAAGGTTGTAGCTTTTTGTTTAATAGATTTCCATTAGTTTAAAGTAGTTTTCATGTGTAAAATGGCTACTAGCTGTACTCAATTTACTAATGAAAATTCTCTTTGCTTGAAAACTTCCTTTGCTCTTTGCTATTGTTTGTGCTTAATTTTTGCTATTGATGAATAGTGTTGCTTTTTACTACTGTGGATAAAATAACTGTTGTCTACTGTGCTTGCTAGCTATCGATCCAATAGGATGTAGGATTATGAGGTGAGTGAATTAAACATCCATGAACACCTGCCGATTAGATAACTCTATCTTGGCAATTTAGTAATTTATCCGTCTTTCAATTTATCCGAACAAGTGAAACGGCTTAGAGCCTCGTCGTATGGCCGATTAGCTTTATGAACCTGCCCTTACAGCAGCCACTGCATGAACCAGAACGCTAATTACTATTAGTTCATAGAGTGGCTATGGCACACATAGGTCAGCGCTGGGCTTAGATATTTGCCCGGTCAAATTGATAAATCTGCCCTTGCCCCAGCCAATATATTAACTAAAAACGCCGAATACTATTAGTTCATGGAGTGGCTGTGATACGCGTTGATCGGCACCAGGCTTAGATATTTGGCTGATCAGATTAATAAATCTACCCCTGCCCCAACCAACTTATGAACTATAAACGCCGAATACTATTAGTTCATGGAATGGTTGTGGCACACGTAGATCAGCACCGAGCTTATATATTTTTTCGGTTAGATTAATAAATCTGCCCCTGCCCCAGCCAATGTATGAACTGGAGACGCCGAATACTATTAGTTCATGGTGTGGCTGTGGTACGCGTAAATCGGCACCGAACTTAGATATTTGGCCGATCAGATTAATAAATCTACCCCTACCCAAGCCAATGTATGAACTATAAATGCCGAATACTATTAGTTCATGGAGTGGTTGTGGCACGCGCAGATCAGCACCGGGCTTAGATATTTTGCCGGTCAAATTAATAAATCTGCCCCTGCCCTAGCCAATGTACGAATTGGAGACGCCGAATACTATTAGTTCATGGTGTGGTTGTGGTATGCGTAGATCGGCACCGGGCTTAGATATTTGGCCGATCAGATTAATAAATCTGTCCCTACCCCAGCTAATGTATGAACTATAAATGTCGAATACTATTAGTTCATGGAGTGGCTGTGGTACATGTAGATCGACACCGGGCTTTTGAAGTTTAGCATTAATGAAATCGCCTCGGGGGCACTGCACCCGTTAGGGATAAATGGGGTGAGTTCTTCGCACCCGTAAATGCCATTAGTGTGCTCAGACTCAATTTAAACCAGTCTGTTGAGGAAGGTTAGATAAGTGCGAATGTCAAGTAGACTATTCTTCAACAGTAGAGGAATGGAGGACATTGGCTAAGCTGGATACAGAGATGAATCGCAG